TTTGGCGATCCAGCAGCGGTACGTACTTGAACCATGCGTTTGCAATAGATACGCGATTGCTGCGTGTCTAAAATGGCCAAAAAGATTTGCAAAATCGAGTCGAATTCGTACCGGTTGGTCAAATTTCGTACCGGTACATGTATCCCTGGGTGATCGACGGTTAGACCTGCTCTTCAAAAAGGTCTTCACTTCGGCGAGTGACGTGATTCACAGCACTTAAGTAAAGGAATTGACGTGTTAATGTATTTATAGCTAGTCATATTGGCCGTCGAATGGGGAATTTGTTGGTGTGCTACCTATATTCTCATTATTTTGCCCTTCGACGTGGCACCACGCTGATTTCCGACATTTCACTTACTCCCGAACTTCCGAACCGGAAGAGCTTGTTGCGTGTCCATACTCTTATAGACAGTGACACCAAGCAGCACCGGCGGAAACAGGATTTGCGCTTCAACTCGGGTCAACTCGGGCCAATTCGGGTCAACTCGGGTCAACTCGGGCCAATTCGGGTCAACTCGGATCGACGCCCGCATCGCATTTCCCTGCAGCGACGGCGACATCACCGCTCTGACTCACTGTTATAGCTCTCGACTGCCCTGACGAGCGCTACAGTTTTTATTTTTCGCGTGGAGCGTTGCGTGTTGAATCGGCGTTGTTAAACGACAAAAAGTACCGTGCTTTAGTGTGTTGGTTTTGGGAGGAAGGGGGTTCCTTCCGACGCAGTACACAAAATGGGAGTCATATACGGTAGCGGACAGCAACCGAATGCCATAGCAATCGACACCGCTGGTCACCACTCCACACGGTTCACAACCTATCGCCTTGCAGGTTGAAGCCGTCGCAATCAGCTACTCGTCCGGCTGCAACATGAAGCGCGCTGTCATGGTCCATGACCCCTCTCTTTTTAATGACTCCTGCATCGAACACCTGCTTCCACATCGGCGGTTGGCTCGACAACCAACGCACTTGACGAAATCGCTGCAGGAAGGGCTCCACAGATACGCGGGCACGGAACTGAAGTAACAATGTCTGTTAAATACCGGTTTATGGATAGTTCAATACCAAAGTTACTTCAGTGCTCGAAGAAACGCGTAGTGCGTATCTCTGCCAAAGGTGCCAAGTTCAAACAGCGTTTGTATGGGGCGAACCGGTGGAATTTCTTACAGCAGGTCCTGTGCCCACTTTCCTCCCGCAGACGTCGATCTCTGAAGTTAAACGCAAGGCCGACGCTCTGCGTATCTCTTGCATCGGCCAAACGTGTGGCCGTAGACAACGGGGGCGACAGCATGATGTATCATCGTTCAGTCGGCTAGAGATCATTAGACATTTCGCGCTCCACTAAGCACTCCAACTCAACCCCCACCTCCCTAAACGACCATGTCAGCCAAGGCAGCTCGCTCCAGCATGGGCCTCTTCAAGCTCTGGACCACGGACAGCGGCACCTTTCCCGTCGTCATCATCTGCAGCTTCGCCGCGGTAGCCGCCGGTGCCTCGGCCAGCCGCTACTTGCTGCACAACCCAGACGTGTGCTTCGACAAGAGCAAACGCAACAGCTCCATGCACTACCAGAGCGATGATGGCGCCGATTGGCGCGCGCGTCGCTTCCGGTTCGCCAACCTGCACCGCAACGCCATCAACCAGTCTCGCCAGTTCGATCCTGCCTTCGCCAAGGAGGAGAACAAGGGTGTTTCCAGATAAATGGCTTTGATCGTGAGGCCCGATTGAGCACAGTGTGGGCCTGATCATATACCAGGGAGCATACTTGCACTTGCTTCTGTAATGAAAAAAATATATTATTGCTGTCAACTTCATTCATTATGAACACGTTGCAGCTTTGTGTGCTGTTTTCGGACGGGTGTACCATGGGAAGATATTAACCATTGACCCCGACTATAACTCCAACGTTTTGCTGTATGTTTAGTTTAGCCCGATGCTGAGCATAGCGAGCTGGTCCTCCTCCACTTCCAGTTGCTCTTCGGTGAGATCTCCCCAGCCCTTTGATAAGCAGTAGAAACGACGACATAGTGATCCCAGCACCTTATTGTGGAAGCGGCAGCGTGAGGAGAAAGTTTGGTATCACTAAAAACTTTGATTCAAGGCTGGACAGGGCCTAAAACGAGGGCTAGCTTCAGAGTAGGGTGGCCCATCCAGCGTAATCTGTGAGATTATGATTTACGTCGCAGCACTGGCCGCTAAAGCCTAAGGCTAAAGCTAAACCCGTGATTGTCATTCTTTATTTTGCCAGGCTCCACCCCTATCGCTACGATAACAAATTCTATTCAGCAATGGTTGCCAAAGGAACGCGCGCTGCTAAGGGACTGATCAACCTCTGGGCTACCGACCGCGGCACCTTCCCGGTTGTGTTACTCGTCGGGTTCGCCATGACTGCAGCCATCGGTAACGGCGTTCGTCACCTGATAAACAATCCGGATGTGTGTCTGACCAAGTCCAAGCGAGGCAACTCCATGCACTATGACGAGGGCCAGGGCACTCAGTGGCAAGCCCAGCGCTCTCGTTTCGCCAACATGGATAATAACCCAGTCAATCGATCGCGCCAGGAAAACCAGTGAGCCCAAAGCGCAAGGTTTCGAGTGAAGAGACAGCTGAATCACATGACACTTTTGTGAACTCGTCTAATGTATTAGGATGATAGTGCAAGTACTGGACTCGATCTAAGCAATAAAACAAGATTCTGGTCGGCCATGATCACTTGCTGCGGTTGAACTGTATTAATCGATTTACTGTTAGCAAAACACAAGCTGAACAGTTCACTTGCGAGTCAAAGATTGTAGTTTTTCGGACTTCGAATTGCGTATCCTCGGTGATGTTTGCAGCCTGCTGAACACAGTTTCCCGGCGGCTATTCAAATAGAGTGTGTTCACTTGACAACAACCACGGCGTGTCGACTGGGAGAAGTCCTGTAGTGAAGCGGAATCGACGCAAGCTGGCGACTTGCAGAATGAACTCGCAGCGGAGTCGCGGTGCTTTTGCCATCGCTGACCTTTCGATCGAAAGCGTAATGCGGTTGCCAACAACAGGTTGGCTTGCTGACCTCTAACGCTCCAACCATGGAACCTACCCGATCATGCTCCTCGTCGGCATAATTGTTACGGTCTCCTAAAGTTTACAGGCAAACACTTAAAAAAAAAACATATGGATTTTCACAGATGGCTACATCTAGCCAGGAATCTCCCACTTTCAATCAAGCAGCCATGCCGCGGGACGAAGAGCGCGTGTCGTCGGCGACGGCGACGGAGGACGAGGAAGCGGAGCTGGAGCAGATGGACGAGCACTCTTCGCTGCGGCAGGGCGCGGCAGGTGACGATCATTCACCGCCGTCTTCACTGCAGAAGCCCGAGAAGCAGAAGTCCAACAAGAAGCTCAAGAAACTACCAGACGATGACTCGGGCCCTGTTAATGGCGCGTTACGTCAGGGTTCAGCTCCCCGGCTGATGTCAATGGAGAGTGTTGGTCTCATCGCTCAGTATGCGGCCGTAGGGCTGGTCTACGGTGTTTTGCCCAGCACCATCACTCCCTTCCTGACCTACTACCTCAACATGGAAGGCACGGCCACAACGTCGGCACGGGCGCTGATTTCCATCCCCTGGAGCTTCAAAGTCTTCATCGGTGTGCTGTCCGACTGCTTGCCGCTCTTTGGGTACAGACGTCGACCATACATGGTGCTAGGCTGGTCCGTGACGGTTCTCTGTCTGCTGGCAATGGCTGCTTCTCCACTGGAAGAACCCTATTTTCCCGACCCAGAGATGCGGAAAGTAAAGCCCACAGACTACTCGCTAGAAATGGTACAGTCGCTGAATAAGAGTGCGCCGAGCAGTGGAGCCAAGTACATTGTGCTCATGATGTTTGCCACCCTGGGATATCTGTTCGCAGACGTGGCAGCGGATGCTGTAGTGGTCGAGTACGCTCAGCGTGAGCCGGAAGAGACCCGTGGGCGTACTCAGACAGCGATATATACTGTGCGAACGTTGTTTAATGTGGTCGCACAAGCTATCACGGGGTTTGGATTGAGCTCGCCGGACTATGGCGGCAGTTTTGAGTTCGGGATTTCGTTCCCGGACACGATGTTGTTGTTAGCAGTGTTCTGTCTGCCTGTGATCCCGATGACGTGGATGTTTGTGCGCGAAGAAGTGGTGAAGGAGCGCCCAACGTTCAGGAAATATATTGGCGATTTGTGGGGTGCCATGCAGAGTCGTGCCGTGTATCAGGTGATCGCCTACAGCTTCCTGTCTGGAGTGTTTAGCGGATTCACGTACGTGGCGCAGGACCCAATGACGTCGTACTGGGTGCATGCAACGAGCTTCAACTTAAGTCTCAGCAGCATATTCGGTAGCTTTGTGACTGTAGTCACACTCACATTGACCGGGAAGTATGGACTGCATTGGAACTGGAGAACGATGCAAGTTGTCACGATGCTGAGTGTAATTGCACTTGATGCTATATGCACAATGCTGGTGACGTGGGATGTTGTACGTAAGCAGTGGTTCTGGCTAGGCGTACCGATTGTCGAAGCTGTACCGGACGCTGTGGGGTTTATCATTTCGACGTATGTGGTTGTGGAGCTAGCAGGACATGGCAATGAAGGAGCAATATACGGTCTGCTGACCACCGTGAGCAATCTGGGCGGGCCATTTGCTCTTACGTTGACGAAGAATGTGAACGCGGCTTTCAAAGTTTACAACGAAGATATCTTGAACGATACGGACGAGGTGCGACGCGATGTGACTATTACCATCTTGATCTCGTACGTGATGAAGCTGTTGGCACTACTCTTCCTTCCGCTGCTACCTCGTCAGAAAGCCGAGGCACAGGCTCTTAAGAGATCAGGTGGGAGCAGTCGACGTATGGGTGTGTTTACTATTTCATATCTTTCGTTTGCGCTCATGTGGGCGATTTTGACAAACTTGTTGGGCATCTTCGAGAGCACTCGATGCTGGGTCATCACTGGTGGTTGCAAGGAATAAATACGGATAATAAAATGTGTAGGTTGCTGATATTTTTACCTTCTACTAATGAAATTTGCGTATCCTAAGCAAATCTCACTGCTTTTCTACGCTCAGTATTGGCTGAAAGTCCGCCCCAAAAGACGTACGATTGGTCGATATGCTTTAAAATGAGGCTTCGATCTTTTCCATAGGGTTTCATGGACAAGTGAAGGTAGAGTCTCTGCCGCGCTTATTACCCTTCTCGCTCTGCACCGAGCAACAATGGCGGCCGCGTTTCCGCAGAAGGCGAAAGCAGGTCTGTGTGCGCTGATTTCGTGCTGCTTCCAGCCCGCGTACACACCTGAGGCCACCGATGAATCCAGATACATGACCCAGGAGAAGCCCAAACGCCGTTCGATCGCGGACGAAGCGGATCTGTCCACCGCTATTCTGCCTAACTACCAAGACCCACCACGATGGATTAAGGACGACTTGGTCGAGGCCTGTGTGCTCTGCGGCGTCGAATTCGACCTGCTCAAGCGCAAGCACCACTGCCGCGGCTGTGGACTCGTCTACTGCGGACGCTGCACGTCCAACTTCGACCGCGTGGTCAAGTTTGGCTTCGTTGAGCCTGTGCGGCTCTGCAACAACTGCGCCAGCACGGCAAAGACAGAAAATGTCTTTTACGAGAAGCTCTTGCCGCTGCTAGAAGGCGGAGACCTCTTCAGCAAGTATGGACTGCTGCGGAAGAGACACGTTTTTCTTAAGTTTGTTCGTGCCAAGAACATTTTCCAGTACCAGAAGTTTGACCCCGAAACGAGAACTTATGAAGGCGATATCAAAGCCATTCCACTGGATGAAATCACGGACGTCCGTGAGGTGGATGTGGGTCAGGACAACTCTGATGTGGGGATAATCATTGCTGTGGGTCCGCAAGAGCACAGGTTTGACGCCACAACGGAACTCAAGAGACAACAGTGGATGGAGGCTATTGCGGGAGCTCGTCACGTGCGTGGTGCGATGCTGGCGGCAGAGCGAGAGAAGCGGGCGCAACAGGTTGAGAAGGAGAACGAGGAGATCCGCAAGATGTCGGAGAATCTGCAAAAGATGGAGGAGCGTCGCGCCACGTTCCAGGAAGATCGGATGCGTCGCCGAGCCGAGAAGCGCGAGCAGCTACGTGCCAAGTACCACCTCGCAACCGCAGCATCGTAAGCGGTCCTGGTAACGTACGCAACTGGCCACTACTCGCTTTTCACTACACTTTATGCGTCTTTATAGGAAACGTAACAGTCTCCCCATCAAACAAAACCTGTATATAATCAACAGTATTTGTGTGCCGCATTTCTTGGTGCCATTAAACTTGCTGCCAAAAAGTATCCAACATTCGGTTACAATTCAGATTTGTGCTTTTTTTTCATGTGCTTAGCAATTGCCGGTGTAATGGCAATTTTCCACATCTTACTTTTTGCTTTTGGCGTTGGACTCGCGGATGGCGGCCTCGAGGTCATCCCATTTCTCCTTGCTCACCGTGCCAAACATGTTGAACTCGCCAGCGTTCGAGACCGTCTCACCTCCATCGAAGCGGACAATCTCGCCGTTGAGCCAACTGGCGTAGTCACTGGTCATGTAAGACGCCAAATTGGCGAGTTCGTCCACCTCACCAAAGCGCTTGAGCGGGTTGTTCTGGATCATGACCTCCTCGAAGGCCCCCGACGGGTCCAGTCGGTCGAATGCTCCCTTGGTTTTGATCGGACCCGGGGCAATACCCACAAAACGGATACCATACTTGCCCCACTCCACCGCCAGTGACTTAATCATTGCCTAAAAACCACACCATGAAGTCAGGATCACCATTGCGATACACTACAGATACAATCAAAAAGTTCTTCACGTACGCTGACACCAGCCTTTGCTGCAGCGGAGGGCACAACGTAGCCAGAGCCCGTCTCGGCGTACGTGGTGGTGATGTTAAGGAAGACGCCGCCTTGCTCGTGCTGGATCATGCGCTTGCCAGCGTCCAGCGTCACGTTGGCCGTGCCCTTGAGCACGATGTCCACGATAGTGCCGAAACCCTTGGAGTTGAGCCGCTCGAAAGGCGAAATGAAGTTGCCGGCCGCGTTGTTGACCACCACTGTGGGTACTCCAGCCTGCTCATCCAGCTCGTCCAGCGCCTTCTTGACCTGGTCGGCGTCGCGTACGTCGCCTGTGAGCGGAATCACCGCGTTTCCTGTGAGTGCCTGGATTTCCTTCGCCGCCACCTCCACGACGCCCTTCTTGCGGCTCATAATAGCGACAGTAGCGCCCAGATCCGACAACTTGGTGGCGATACCCTTGCCCAGCCCGGTGCCGCCGCCCGTTACCAGCGCCACTTTACCCTTGAAGGTGCCGGGCGGCAGCATGGTGCTCAGCACAGGCGACGTGCGGGGCTTGGTCGTGCTCTTGGCGCGGGTGAGCGCGGCCCGCAGCGCCGGGGTACTGGAGGTTACGCGCTTGCTAAACATCGATCAGGATCGGAAATGAGCGTCAGTAGCTTGAAGTTGTTCCGACGAGATACCGACGTGAAAACCCATCATAGAAAATATTTTATAACATTAAATTTGTGAGACCACAGTGCCAAAATTGCATTAAGTTTGTGAGACCATAGCGCCGAAATTGCATTAAGTTTGTGAGATCACCACAAAGCCAAGTGCACTTCCTGCCATGAACGGCCAACTGCGCGCGCTCGGGGCGCTCCGCGGCGGAGTGCTGGGGTTACGCCGCACATCAATCTCTCGAGGTCATAACGTACTGCACCTTCGTAGTGCACAGGCAGCTCTCCCAACTTTGGGCGCGCCCTTTTCGCGCGGCAATCGGCACTTTTCCACCTCCGATTCTGTCCCTCCGACGCTGGAGCTGACGATGACCGACGGACAGCTCACAGGTGAGATCTAGAAATCCAGTGCAACTGCCACGAGATGAGAGCTGACATAGTTGCGTATGGTAGACGTTGCCGCTTCGGTGGCGAGTAGCAGCACGGGCCACGAGCCATGGGCTATCGTGCAGGGCGTGCAATCGGTCCTGGAGATGGTGCACACGACCACAGGGCTGCCTTGGTGGGCTACGCTGTTGGTATGAAAACGGAAGCAATTGGTGCAGAAACGCTATAATACTGATGTTTTGTATGCTTTCAGCTTTCGGGTGTGACGGTGCGCGCTGCCATTTTCCCGTTCTACGTGTTCCAGATCCAGGCCATGCAGAGGTAGAGTGGCCAATTGATGGTGGTGTAATTCAGTACATGATGTGCTGATGCTGTTTATGCTTGACGGACAGGTTGATGCGGGCGAGGCCGGACTTCAGTAAGCTCTACTCGGCGTACAAGTACGCGCGTACTTTCACTGTAAGACGCAATAGTCTAAATGTATTCAAGGTCTAGCTCGTTGGGCTAACGCGTGGTTATTTTGTGATACAGCCTGGTTCCGACCACAAGGGACACCTCGATGCTATTTTACTCGGACGCCGAGGCTCCAAGGCAGTGATGAAGAAGTACAACACGCGCCCTATCCAGACTATCATGGGCTCCGTTGCGTACATTCCCCTGTTTGCCCTAATGGCGTTCAGTGCCCGTGACATGATACGCTCTGGGAACTTCGCAGGATTGGACTCTGGCGGTCTATTATTTTGGACGAACCTGATGGAGACGGATAGCACGTACGTGCTGCCTATTCTCGCTGCGACGTCAACGTACGGCAACTTGGAACTCTCTGTGCGGACCAAAAGTGGGTTTTGGACAACGTTGCTGCAGGGAGGGCAATACATCACAATCCTTGCCGTCCCGGTCATGGTCAATCTGCCCCAGGGTGTTTTCTTCTACTGGCTTGGGGCCTCATGGTCGTCCATGGCTCAGACCATCGCTATGAACAACAACAACTTCCGCCGACGTATCGGACTCCTGCCCCGAGTCACGGAAACACAACCACCTGCTGCAGCTGTAGCTGAGATGCTCGGCAAGGCCCCACCGGATGCCACGGGAGGTGCGACGGTCGTCAAGACGGCGCCCACAAAATCTCAGCAGTAATAAAGCGAAGAAAACCCCAATGTATTAGATGGCATTGGTATTTCTGATTCAATAAAAGAAATTTGTAGGAGTGTCCAGCGGTGAACTTGTCGACATCGAGTTACGCAACTCTAGGATCTGTGTTGCCACATGAAAGATTTTAGATTCTTGTCTTGTGTTCATCAAGATAAAACACCACAGACACCTTCATCGCGCGGCAGCCATGTTTACCACGGACTTGCAAGCCATGACGCTGTCGGCATCAACATTCTGACACTTTGACAGACAATTTGGCTGGATTTTCAGTTTTTTATCCAACCAAACGTCAAAGTTACGCTGAGAAATGTTACAGCTCGTCGGCATAATCAAACTGGGCACGTAGTATAGTGTGTCATTCCTCAATCCTCCGCCGACGTAGCAATGCGCTCCCCACCGCGCAACAACGCCGACAATGCACAGCTCGAGCGTGCTACCCACTTGGTGATCTTTCAGCACGGACTGCTGGGCAGCAAGTACGACTTCGCTCGCTTTGTGGAGATCTTTCAAGCACAATTCCAGAATGACGAGCTGTTCCTGCACGCGAGCGAGAGCAATGCCTCCGGTTTCTTCCAGACGTACGACGGCGTGGACCAGGGCGCCCATCGCCTGGCCGACGAGATCCAGCAGCTGGCGGCCAAGATGCCCAAACTGCAGAAGCTCTCGATGATCGGTCACTCTCTGGGAGGGCTCTACAATCGCTACTGCATCGGCTTGCTGCTCAGTCGCGGCTTCTTCGACAAGGTCGAGCCAATGGTGAGTGCGGAACAATGTAGAGTACCCTACTGCACAAGCTGACTGACTGTGACCTTCACTGTTGCTGTAGAATTTTGTGACACTGGCGACGCCCCACCTCGGTATCCGTCGTCCTCGTCGAGGCGCGACCAACGTTGTGTTCAATGCATTGATGCCTAAGATCTTTAGCAGAACTGGAGCACAGCTTACTCTGATAGATGAGGCGAGTGAGGAAACGTTAGCCTTAAGCAAGTCTTCCACTACGTATCTAGACAAGGACTTTCGCCCAGGTACAGTTAGCTGCTTAATGTTTATTAGCGGATATTTGATACTGACCATTCTTCTCATTGTTGCAGCTTGGTCTGAGATAAAGGGATCGTTGTTAATCAGTCTCCCAGTGTCGGAGAAGCGAGAAGACGATGGACATGAAGCATTTGAGCTGTACGATTGCAACCTCAGCGACCGCAAGCTTCATGTATTCGAGAACAAAGCTAACGAAGGTCAGTCCAAGTTGAAATTTGAGATCGATCTATCCTGCTGCGACGTCAAGATCTTGTTGCCTAGTGGGAAAAGCATTGGCGATGACGCCAATTACTACTCCAGTTTCATCGGATGGGGACAAAACGATGACGAAGAGAAGCCCAACGTCTTTGGCAACTTCGACATCCAGATCCAGTGGTCTGCCGAGTCTTCAGCTTCTGACATAACCAGCAAGAATGTTTGCGTGCTTCGTATCCCAGAGGAAGACATTCACCGCGATTGGAAATGGCTCGTGGCGCTCAGTAACGCTAGTTTTGGTGTACGGTGCGTAACTTCGGCTACAAGAACCACTCGAGTGTCTACCACTCCACCGCTACTCAGCTGCTTGACGCGAGGCCAGTTCATGCAAGCGTTGCAGATGTTCAAAGCCCGTACCCTGTATTCGAGCATATTTTTTGACATGCAGGTGCCGTACACATGTGCCGCAGTACGAGCGTTTAACCCGTACCGTTCAAGCGCCAAGGAGCTTTTGATGTCTCCTATCTACACCCACATCGTGCACGACTCTCTGCAGAGCGCACGTAAGCTACGAGACACAATCCCTCTCAAGGTCAAGCGTCTCGCCATGAAGTATATGACGCCCAGGCACGCTGCCCTGTCCGAGGCTTCAAACGAGGACGAGCAGCTACGCAGTGGCCATGGTGTCGAAGACAGCGACGTCAGCACCTCCAGCACTCACAGCAGCTGCAGAGGCACTCATCGTCATGCCTCAGACCCTGGACGGAAGTCTTCGAAGGACAACAGTCGACACAGACATCTCTTCCACAGTCGTCGTCGAGGGAAAACTATGGGCAGTTTGCCTTCACACCATTCAGGCGTATCTCGTCCCGAACCTTTCGTCGAAGGCGACGTGATACTGGACCAGCTCCCGTACGCCTTCACAGCAGATGCCGAACAAGATGAACTGCGTGGCATGTTGCTATCTGTGCAAAGTGTTGGCTGGCGACGTATCGACGTCCTTTTCGGCGGCATTATGTCGCACGAGCACATTATTGCCAAGCGAGCCGATCTCGACAAACCCCTAGATTCGGGCATTGACGTCGTGCACCACGTTATGGATACATTCGTGGTGTAACATTCAAAGAAACGTAGTGCCCATGAAATGTGAATCTGAAAACATTTGAGTTTTAACATAATATTATGCCTTTTGCTCTCCTATCCAGTCTACTTGGCCGAAGAGTAGCCCCGTGGATTCATCGTATTGTACACTTTTCAGCCGAAAGCGTCGATATCGTTGAGTTTCTAGAACTAATACTTCGCGTTCCCCTGCTTCATCATCGAATCCAGTGAAAGATACGTCGGTGACGAGAAGCAAATCACCGATCGGGTAGCTACCGGGATTTCGCTTCATTTGCCGCAAGACCTCCGTCACGGACATGTAGCCGACGAAAGCTCCAGGTGTCTTCAGTTCTGTTGAAGTCTCCACCATATCGGCGAAAGTTGTCAAGTTCATCAAACGGAGGTCATGCGATTGCAGGGTATTTCTCAACCTCGAACAAGAGCGGGATGGTGTCGGGTAGATGATCTATGCTGCTATTCGTACTGAGTTGAAGGTTGTGGTCGTATCTTTTGGTTGTAAAGTCGAAAGAGTGCAGCACCGCGAGTGGCCCAGCCACAAAAGCCGTCAGCGCAATAGGGAGAGACCACCACAGAAATTGCTTATCGGCCACCATTTTATAGCACAATTCTGGACTGGATGCGCAATTGAGAAGTGATATCGAGCATGACAGGCATCAGTTCCAATACGAGGACTTAGGTAGAAGATGCTTAGGTAAATGCTGCCTCCGATTCTGACCGAGGACGAATTTGGACAATCAGTGGTAAACCCTGACTTTTGATTATTCATTCCAATAACATGGGTATCCTACTTTTTGCCCTTCTTCTTGCCTCCTTTCTTTCCTCCTTTCTTCTCCGACTCCGCAGCCTTTCGTTTCTCCTCCTTTTTGGCCATGTGTGTGCGATAAGCGACCTGGATGATCCTAGCAGCAGTATTCTGCGCCTTCAGCTCCTCCTTGCGCAATGCTTCGAGCTCCAATAACCTCTGACGTTCTTCTTCCTTTTGTTTGATAGTCGTCATCTCTTCTTGCCATCGTTTCTGGAAATTCTCCAGCCTCTGTGCATTTGCAGCCTTGCGTTCCTGTAGCTCTTGCAATTGTGCTTGCTTCGCTTGGATGTCTTGCTGGTACTTTGCGTTCCATTCGGCCAACTCCGTTTGAAGTTGTTCGTGACGATCTTTGAGGAAATGTACCGTCTCGTCGTGTACCTTTGTTTCCGTCGCGCATTTACCCTGCAGATCCTTAATGCGGTCGTGTTGCTCTTCCATAAGCTGATGATACATTCGCGCTGTACTGCTTCGCTTCGCCTTGGCTTCATTTCGCGCATAGCGAATATCGATTTGAGTCTTGGACTTGACAGCGAGAATCTGCTCTTTTAATCGAAGGATGGCCGCCTTGTGCTCGGTCACCTCCTTCTGATGCTCCAGTTTCTCACGCGCCAGTTCTGCGCCGAGTCTTTTCACTTCTTCCACCGCTTCACGTTCCTTTTTGAGGATTTCGTGCGCCTTCTCCTGTGTGCTCTTGCCCTCAGCCACGAACGTGAGCAACGTGTCGAACGTCCCGTGCTTCTTCATCTCTGTCAAAGTGTGTCCAAGCAGCTCCAAAAGACCTTCGCGTTCCTGCTGAATTTTCAGGAGATTCCCTGCAAAATTGGGGTTCTCCTTGAGATTGCGACATAAGCTTTTGGTGGACTCTCGCAGTAGTCGACTGACCTCCTGGATCTCTCGCTGGTTCTCTTTGAACTTGGATTTATTGGCCAATCCTTTCAGCACTGCTCGCTGAGCGATGAGCTTCTCGTATTTGTTCTCCAGTTGGCGCTGCTCTTGGATGATACGGGAGATCTCCTCGCCCACAACCTGCGATAGCTCCTCGCGATGCTGCAGGATATCCGGTGTGATGCTGCCCAGGAAGCTCATTTTCTCCAGTGACTCCTCCAGCACGCCACAGGCGCGTAAGCTCTCGATGGGCGTCAGCTTGAAGGCCATGCTATCTGAGGTCTAGCGTGGACAGCGAAGGACGAAGTTGTTAGGCGCTCGCGTCGCTTCGCATCCGATGAGGCAGGTGAACACCATCATTATCTCAAAATAGCGCCAGCGAACTAGGCGTCGCCGCTGCGTCCTGTGCGTCTATACTGATCGTGACAGTGAAAATCCAACGCGTTGCAGTTTGTTGGCATGGAGTATCTGCTGCCGAATTTTTGTTGGGGTGTCGTGATGGCGACCGAACAAGCGAAACGCATAGAAGGCATAAACACCCAACAGAGCAAACACCTTTAGCGCAGAAAGCAACGTCGCTGCGGTGCTGCAGCTGGTAGAAATCTGCCAGACGCACCCGATCATCGGACTGCATCTGTTGATGGCCTTACGTCAGTGAGCAGGGCCATCAACAACATGGCTACATTGGTGGAAAAATCGTGTAAACGTGACATCTTCAGTGACGTTTAGTTTGTCCCATCCCCTTTTTTGATACCTCGCCATAGTGTCATCATTTAAACACCCAATTACTTCTGCTTTCTCAAAAGAGTGACATTCCACATTCAAATTCATTCACATTCAGCTCATTCTTCAATTCGCTGGCAAGAGCGCAGTGCAACAACCGCCTCAATTAACGGCGAGTCCAGCCTCAAATAACGACAATAATGCTAAAGGAGCAGGACCCGATGATCGAGCTCCTGCGGGAGTGGATCATGTCGCCCGTGGGCGACCAACAGGAGCTGCGCGTATCGGTTCTCGAGGTGTTCAGCTACATGAGCGAGCTCATGGCCGAGCACGCGGAGAATCCCGAGCGTAGTCGCCTCAAGAAGTTTTTGCCCCACCTCAAAAAGATTTTCCTGCCATTGGACCTCACACGGGCCGCTCTTGAGTACGACGCCAGCACGCACTTCCTGGCGCGCAAGCGCGTACCGCCGACCTTCAAGGAGGTGCGCCACATCCTCAACCTGGCGACTACCAACGCTATCGCCGGCAAGCTCAAACTCGTAACTTTTGACGCCGACGATACCATCTATGAAGACGGCGGCACTATCAGCAAAAGCTCGAGGATGGTCCAGGTCATCGTGGAGTTGCTACGTCGAGGCGTCGTCGTATCCCTTGTCACAGCGGCAGGATATCCAGGCAACCCTGGGAGGTACGAGGAGCGTCTACGAGGTATTTTGGAGGCGCTTGAGGACGTGACGATGGAGGAGCGAGCGCGGTTTCTGGTCATGGGAGGCGAGTGCAATTATCTATTTGAGACACACACAGACAAGACAACGGGCGTTGTGGGACTGCGTGAGATCGATGGCGCAGTCTGGAAGGACGGGAGGGGAGAGCGCTGGCCGGAGAACCAAGTGACAGCGCTACTGGATGCAGCAGAAGTTGTACTTAAGCGAACAGTCAAGGAACTGCATTTGTCAGCCAGAATTCTGAGAAAAGAGCGCGCGATCGGGATCATTAACACGTCGAAGAAGCGGATTCTGTACGAGAATTTGGAGGAGATCAGTCTCACATTGCAGCACGAGTTGCGGCACTTCAGAGTCCCGTTTTGTGCCTTTAACGGCGGTAACGATGTGTGGGTGGACATTGGCCACAAGGCACTGGGCATTCAGGCACTGCAGAAGTACGTGTTCCGGTTCTTACCTGAGGAACTTCGCGATAGTGAGGAGCTACGTAACATCCAGGGCCAGGAATGTCTCCATGTTGGCGATCGGTTCACTAGAACAGGCAACGACACTCGGTCGAGAGATGCGGCCACGACAATCTGGATCTCCAATCCGCAGGAGACTGTGCACATTATGACGATTTTACTGCGCACAATTGACCTCGTGAGGGAGCAGAAGAGGGAGCGCAGAGAGGAGAGAGAGAAGGAAAAGAAGGAGAAGAAAGCCAAAGCCAAAGCTTTGACAACAGCTACAGCTACAACGACACCGAGTGACGATGGCAGCGACGTCACAAGCGACTCGAACGTTTCTAGCGATGGCGAGAGCAGTGGCAGCAGTGACGAACGGGAGACCACAGTCAAGGCAGCTATCCAGGCTGCCACCACTGCGTCACTCGCAGAGTAAAATACTTGATGAGGTTGTAAGTATAATATGCTCGTTTTTTGTAAGTTAGCTGTGTATTTCTACGTCTCCTGGTCTCAATTCATCGACAGGTAGGCTCGACAGCTTGGTTGGCTTTGCTGCATTGTCGTGTTTATCGATTCCCAGCTCTCGAGCAACAACCTCTCGCATTGAACCGATCTGTGCGTTAAGAAGTTGATGCTCTTCATATACGATCTCCATCAGCAACGGTGCGTCGTGAAGACGCTGGTCGCGAGCTCGAATAAAGCGGAAAAGCTGACTGCAGTCCACGTTTTCAGCTAGCAACTCATGCTGCGAGATGCGAAGAAGCGCGATTGCCATCGAAAAGACAACCGACGATCCTTCCAAGAAGAGAACGTCCAGGAACCGGAAAGTGGTCTCACTAGGGAAAACAGCGCAGCAGAGTGGTAGTAGCCATTGAGTCACTAACACAAGACCCATGGGTGGTAGGTGGAGACGCTGGAAATGCCGATGCAACTTCGGAAGTCGTGTTCGTATGAGTTTCTCGAGCACACCGCCATCCACTTGTAGCCCGATCATTCCTTGTGTGTAGTAGGACGGGAAAAAATCCTCACAGATCACATGAAGCAGCCAAAATACTCGCTCCTCGACTTCAATGGGGTCGGTCGATGCCTTTGCTGCCTGGGAGTGATAGAGACACAGTAATCGCCCTACGATGAAAGTCATCGATTGACAGTAACCAAGAGCGTCGTTATGCAAGGCATAGGCCAGCAACACACGCTCCAAAGAGTTTTGACCCACGGGAGATGTGAGCCAGCACTCGTCATTACCAGCAAATGTGCGCCTCAAGTCCACTTGGATCTGCTTTTTGGATACCGAAAAGCGCGAAGTTTTGGCCCTGGAATGAACTTCATCGGTCGGATCTTCGAGACGCTTTATCAAGCTAATGAAATAGTCTCCAGGGTAGCGGGTCTTCAAGAGCAACACACCGCTTATTTGTGTATACATTTCTGGACGTCGCGACATTGGAATACCTTGCCAGACCAACTTTCGCACTGCGCGTTTTTGAGGAGCATCAAGGACGCACGACACGTATTCATTTGCTGTTGTACGGCCATTGCAGGATTCGACTATGGTGTCACGAATTCCGGCGAGGTTGCATGGTTGAGATGCATTAGTAGTGTGGATGCTGCATCGAAGACTGCGCCACCGTGTCTCTTGTTGTTGCTCGAGAGCTTCTACTAGAAGCTTGTAGTATGCATAGGACCTCGTTACGCCTGACGGTAGTATGGAACGTTGCCACTCGCCACTTCGAAGCTGTAACTCAGGGTCAAACACTCCGAAGCCCAAACGGTCGAGGAGCATCGAACCGTGCGAAAACTGGGAAGAACACGACGATGATGTTGATGTTGTCGAAGACGATGAACCGGGAGGTGATCCACCTTTTTCATCACGTTGTCCTGGTGGTAGATATTGCGATGTAGTTAATAACTCCTCTGCTGTTGCCCCATAAGTATTTGGTAGCGTTGGGTGGGGCAGTTCCGATACACCATTCGGTAGAAACAACGTGCGAAGGAGAACCAGCCCAACATTCGTCTCAGGATCACTCACGTTAACCAAATGTAGCCACTGCATTTTGGCTGGCATTCCTTGAACCAGATCCAACAACGACAATGTGATCTTCCCCACACAACAAGATTCGCTCTGATCTTGGTTTTCGTGTTTGATTGCGATGGTCACTTGAGTATGTGCTATTGATTCAGGTGCTCGAAACACACTACAAAGGGGAAATCGCGGGTGACGCCGTACCTGTGAACTCCCTGACAAAACCAAGTCCTGTTGCAGCGTTGAAAGCTGAGAGCGCACACAGTAAATGAGTCTAGTACTGCTACAGGATTCCCCACTGCACTCAACATCAGGAGTCAATGGCGTCTCGATCTCAACGACAGCGTAATAGCGTTCTGGAGGTGGCTTATTAATGAGACCTGGACTTGTTGGTGTCACCGCATGAGAACCACGAGGCAGACCTCGAGCCTCCAGCAGCTCGAAATGCAAGTCTCCAATGAATGATAAAGCAATGGACTCCACCGGAGGATCCTCTTTGAGAGCCCCAAAGAATCGCTGGAGATTCGAGAGACTTCGACGTCGACCGCCGTCACTAGTCGTGAAAACTCCAGATAGATTGGGCACAGTGTAGCCGCTAAAGCCGTTGCAATTGCGTGCACGCATCCGCACCAGATACTCCATGTCCCGTTCAAGGCCACACAACCAGTGTTCACGTGCCTCTGGCTGCAACAACACGCCCAATGGTTCCCAGTTTAGCAAGGACGATGCCGTCATTAGCGCAGATGTTACAGCTCGTGGCGCTCGTGGACTTCCTGGTGATGTCGATGGCATGAGCATGAGCATAGTGAGAAAACCACTGGCACTTGACAGACTGGCAGGTTTCTTGCAGATCTCCAAATGAAAATACATCGGCTTCAATACTTCCCATAGTCTGGTATCGTTAGAAGCTGGCTCCATATTCCACCCGATACCCAGCGACATTGTGTCAGCTCCTATACAACGCAATCCTGATGGCACGCAGGGCACTTTTGATATCTCGGCCAGGAAATGTCGAATGGAAGACGGTCGTGTTGATGCCAGTTGTAATGCCGTCTTGCCTTCACTTGTGCGTCCTGTAAAACTGAGTTGATGTCGCCCTGGAGCTTCTAGCACTAACCATTCGCAAACTTCCAGTGGTGCACCCATCGCAGCGTAGTGCAGAACGGAGTATTCATTTACATCCAACGCTCCCAACGAAAGTTCACCACGACGCGGATTATCGTCCCCAAGCAGCCACTTTATCACATCCAAGCGACCATTATATGCAGCGTAATGTAGCATACTGCGTCCACTCAAAGAGGTAATTCCCAGGTTCGTCAAATACCTAGAACTTGGTCCCGAGCTCTTCACAGATCGCCTACCAGAAGTCTCAACTACTAGCCCAGAACACCACTTAATCACGTCAAGATTGCCATGAATCGCTGCGAGATGCAGCACGTGCGATCCATTCGCATCAACAATAGAAATCCCCTCTGGATCATGCTCAAACAGTAATTTCAGCAGCTCCAGCACCGTCTTCCCTGTAGCCGACGAAACCGCCTCGTGGAATGGCGTACGGCCATCTCGGCACCTCGCCGACGCGTTGGCTTCATGAAATAACAGACACTTAGCTACCTGTACATTTCCACATCTGCAAGCTTGATGCAGTAGCGTTCTTCTTCTCCCATCTACGCAGTGCACGGCGTCAATTCTGTCGTTGGCTATGTCGATGGCCGAGTTGTCGGTAGTCGAGTCCAAAGTTAGTCCACGTGCCTCCAATAGCTCGAAAAATGTCTGATTCCTATCGATTGAGGCAAAAAGCTCTCGTGCTTCTGCCCTCGTTGGTGACACGGGCGGCGAATAAACCGACGAACCTTTGAGTTCCGCCAGTCGAATCGGATCGGGCGTGAAGGCCGGGAAGATCGAGAGCTCCGGCGGCTTTAATACGGATGTGGTGGCTGTCATGTGTGCCGAGCTATTGTGCTGTTTTGGCCTCTAGAAGATGAAGAGCATGCCATTAGTCAAAGGTCTCGGGAACCTGAAGTTGTTGTGTTGTTGAAGTGGTGGAAGTGAGGGTAATACACACGCACCGAGTCCGTATCTCCGCTGTGTGGCGGATTCTTCATGGGCACCAGCTAGAGACGAATTGAAATCTAGTCGCTGCTGCTGTGATTCGTTGTCCTTCTTGCCGGCGGAGCCAAGAGGCGAAGCGAAACGTTGCTGATTTCCAAGTCTCATTTAGCAGAACAGAGACGCTCTTGAACGGACAACCGGACTCTGATTGGAAGAAAAAGAATACAGCTGTATTCTGTAGCCATTTCGGTGTAATTTTGTTTTGAAAACACTTTTTCATTTTATTTTGGAAATGGCTTTAGTCTATCTAAGGTAGTTTTAGGAATACTAAATACAACTGGAATTCGATTTAAAAGTTGAAATTTATCTGGGATGGAAATAACATGTAAAAAGAGTACGTCTGTATAGCGTTAGCATACGCAATCTCAATTATTTGCATACACGCAGTGATGTCATTGGGATGTTCTAATAGCTTGATCGTGATTTAGATTGGAGCTTTAATTTTGCTTGAATCACCGTTTATAGTAATCCCATTTTCTTATTCGTTCCATGTACACTAGAATTGAATTTTTTGAAATATCTAAACCGAGTTTAAAATAATGAACAAGCAAAACGAAAAACGAGAGATGGTTGACTAATGACTAAAAATTGTGAGTCAACATTTTCTTTTTTCCATAATCTTTTAATTCAATCGAGTATCGTACCATTCTACGCTCTAGACTGCAGTCTTCAAAAATTAAAGGTCAAATGTACGAAATCGAACATTGATTTTAGTACTTCTGCGATTGTTGGTCTTAATACCCAAGTTCTCGACGTTCCTCCTCTCTCTAAAATGGATAGGCACCGTTGAGCTTCTCCATGAACACGCCATCCTTCATCGGCATCTTGACACGAGCCACATTAAGAGGCGTCTCATCCCAATCAGTGTTGACCAGAGCATTCCGAGCGACATCCGGTAGCTGGTCCCAGATGATGAGGTCTTGGAACTCACCAGCGTCCTGAGTGTACTTGACCGCGGTGTTGATAGAATCGTCGTTGAAGTAGTACGCAACCTTCAAACTGTTACCATCGAGGTATTCCTTTGGAGTAGGGGATTCCTTCGCCCATCCGATGGCTGCTGACATGGAAGTGCCAAGAAGGGTGGAATTGGCGCTGGCTTTGTCCAGCCACACGACCGCGTACTCCCAGCCATGGCGGTGTCCGTACGAGCGTGGGGCCGGGATTGGCGCTCGGCCCTTGGGGAAGTACCAAGCGTACATTACGGCCCACTTGCCTTTCAACCACGTTGCACGAGCATAGACTTGAGAACCCAAAGGTGAGCCCTTGCATCCAATGTTGTCTGGACCACTCCACTTAAGACCGCTACTAATGGAACCGTCCTTCTGGACTGCTGGGTACGGGTGGCATCCCTCCTCGATTTTAAGTTGCGGTTTGTACTTGAGAATAGCTTTTTGAGCGTCGGTGTTAGGGACTTGTTGGGAAAATGGCTGAACCGAGTCGTACGGAATGGCCTTGGACTGAGCTGCAGTAGCAGCGATTGCAGCGATGGCAGCGAGGAAGATGCCACGAAAATTCATGTTCTGAAGTGGGGCTTTCGGTGAAGTGTGCTGGTAGTGGATAATTGTACAATGACAGGAGATTTCTGTGGCCGATGGTGACTGGTGAAGCACACCTCGCTAGTGGATCAGAAGGTGTTTCTCAGTCGTCGGTTGGCAGACCCATAGAGACTGAGAAATACAGTTTACAGTAAACTGCTGGCCGAGATTTGCCTTTTGCCTTTGCTGGTACAGGCTTCGGGATAATAACGGAAACAATGATTACTGGCAGTGACAATTGACCTGTTCGACACTGTGAATGCCCCACCCAGAGAATCTACACATTCTGTACTTAAATTCCGTGACAAGTATGTCACAACAACCTGGTTTAGAAGCTCCAGGCGAACGCGTCTGGGGTCAATTCAACTTTTCTAATGGTGTTCTTTACAGCAGTCATGCGAGTTCATATTCTTTCTGCCACAATATTTAGGTCGTTAAAACTGAAAAGTCAAAATTGCACTGAGGCACAACCTTGCGAAGACCGTTCAGAAGTCCCGGTCATTGACTGACAGTGTCAAGCCCAGCAGGATACTGGGCACCATTTGGTTTTTCGGATCAAAACTCGTGTACTGGCAGCATCCAGCTTACATGAAGAGCCGGCGTCAGCAACTGGCGCGTTATGTAGTTGATACTCACCGTGCGTGGTGTATACATGTACCTGCATATAATAACCATACAGTTTCTACAGATCGACCCATCTTTGATCGCGCGATCCTCGTAAGGTCAACTTCATTTTTCTGCACGTGGGGACTCAAAGCAAGTTAAAGCCAGAGTATAGCAAATGAGCATTGCAATAATAAGTTTATCCAGAATATATCTGGTGAGATTTTGCTGTGCTAGCTTTCCGTTGTTTGGTAGATCGAATCATAGAGAGCAGAAATTGCTCTATGTGCAGCCAAACCGTTTATATGGGGCTTTGTAGGCTCTAGACGGCCAGACACTACTCTGACCTTTTGTTTATTCAGCGGTTGCCATGCTACAATAACGCAAAGTAATTTGGACAAAGCGAAAAAATGGTAATGTTTTGGATAGAGAATATCCGGATAAAATCTGTTGAGATTCTCTACTGACGAGCTACGTTTTGACCATGGTAACGTGTTCTTTATAGTTTGCTTGAAACGTCCCCGGATGAAGCCATGCCGACTCGATGTAGAGGTTATGTTGCTGAAGTCTAAACCCAGTCGAGGCTGAAGCTCCTAGAACCACCGGTGTCGCACTTCGCTGTTACCTCTGCCGAGGACAGCATCATCGTTTGAACCTGAAATTCGTTTAGATGACCCGAGCTAGTTGGTGGGGGCCAACGTGAGTACGAGGCGCACGTTTCCAGTTATTTTCGACCAGTGGGCTTGGTCGGTATGGTGTTCATTTCCACTGGGTTCGTCGTTATGGTATCCTTCATCAGTATGTTGCCCATAGTTTTCGAGGAGCAATCTGCGTTCTATCGCGTCGCAAACGTACAAATGCCCTCTGGTTCTTTGTCAGCTTCCGATCATCAAACTCCCGTACGCGTTCGTGAGTGTACAGCTGTTCACGATCATCTACTAGGTCTCCAGAGTTTCGCTGACGGTGTCGTGTACTGGATTAACGTGGTGCTATTATTTATTTTCTTCAAGCGTGCATGGGCCACCTGCCGGTGTTTTTGAATTGCCCAATGTCGAAGTCGACGCTGTTACCGGCATCTTGTCCAGCACCGTATGCTTCGTGGCCACGGGCTTCAACCCTCCGACAATACAGAACTCTCAAGGCACAAGTGGCTTTGTGCTATCGCATTAATTCGTTACTCGTTCTCGGTGCGCGAAGCCACTACCTTCGGCAAGTGCTCCACCGATCACCTCTTTGATATCCTGACGGCAAGTGATACGTCGCAGTACCTTTACGGTTACCAGATTGTGCAGAACGCGCCTGCCACGGTGGGCGAGATTCTTGTACGGACGCTGTCTTCGGCATCAAGCAAGCGCATATTTCCCAGTATTTTGGCATCCTAATAACCGTGATTGCGTTCTTCCGCTTGCCGACTGCGCTAGCGAAGCGATGTATCAACCACCACTAGCGCTAGAGCTAATGTAATGTACCCCGTGAGCACCAACGTAACCAAATACTTCTCTTTCATACACTCTGGCCTTGTGGCTAGCCTTCATTGTGCTGCGTTAGGAGAGTAGCTAGCGCCGGATTCGCTAGACCCCAGGCTACTGCACGAGATGCAGCACGATGCGGCTCTCGTGGAAGGCAAATCCGGGCGCCAAAAACTCGACGCGCACCTTGGCCAGAGCCGGCAGTTGACAGCGCATCTCCAGTAAGCTGAGTGAAATTTCCTTCTTGGTACGCAGAGGACACGAGCACTGGGCCAGTAGTGCCTTGTCATGCCAGACCTTGAAGACGACTTTGTAGTTCTGTCTTGGCTGGCTGTGCTGTAAGTCCACGTTGATCTGATAATTGCCCTCGTGCAGGACAGAGATGCCGTCATTCACCACCTCAAAGATATCCTCATCTTCGTGGCCGCTCAGACGCTCCCAGTTCATAACTCCGGGCGACTGGACGCTGCTGATGGCCTTGGCAGACATGTAGATGAGCGGCGTCATGACTTCCAGCCTGTGAGTCTGCTGCTGTTGGGCTTGTTCGGTCTGGATGGCCGCACCCAGCGGCACGGGGGTCGGAATGGGCCGCAGCGGGCTGGTACTCGGCATTGCGAACGCTGGGGACGGCAGCATTTCGGAAGAGACAGAAGTTTCGGTGCGTCTGTTAGGCACACTGTTGTTCTTGGCACCGCGGCGGCGTTCATCGCGCGACTGCAGGTCGCCCTCTTGGTATCGCTCCAGAATATGTTGGCCCGAGCGTCGTAGACGCCAGATGGCTGAGCGCGTGACGCCGTAGCGCCGCGCCACATCCGCCTCAGTTACGGCTGCTCCGCTCTGGAATAGCTTGAGGATCTCCACACGTTGGCCGTCCGTTAGTCGCTTGCCAACGCCGCGCCGCTCCATGACACCTTCGATTTCGTCGTAAGTTGAAGGCCCAAATTAAAAAATATGTTTTCTACTTTAAAAAAAAAACAAAAATATATTTTTTGAAGAAAAACTCATTTGCTTTATTTATTAGGAATATTTCTCTTGATTTTAAAGTTATGATACAACAACCAAAATATTTTGAAGTGCACCAAGCGAATGTACTTGATGATAGATGTCAAACTTCACCAAAGTGACTGTCTTATCACCGCGCTTCAACAACAACAAACGATCAAAGAGAAGACATTCGACGAAGGCTGGTGGATTGCGCACAACATGCCGAGTCCGCCACACGACGGGCACCGTCCATGATCACCTTGGCGGATCAAACATCAAGTCCACTGGTTCATTCGTCGAAGAGCAAACCTTGGCTTTGTAGCCTTCTCAACACCGAGCACAGTCAAACCAGCATCACCATCGGTGCTCAGAACACTGCTCTTGGCGCGAAGAGATCCAAGCAGGTTGTAATTATCTTCGCACCTCGTTCATATCACCCCGTGGAAGTGCCACGTTTTCACGTCGCTCGCGATAATACTCGAGAGCAGGTAGCAAGTGTTTATCAGCACGACGCAGCTGACAATCAAGACGATGGCGCCGTAGGCGATCCAGACTTCTCGTAGAAGACGACAAACAAACTGAGCGAGTACGCACCCATGAAGTAGAACAGTAATCAACCCCTCGTAGATGCAGACATCGAATTTGTTGCTCCGGTACTGGCTGACAGCGATATCCACGCCACAGAATTCAACGCATGGAATGTGTCTTCGAAAACCGCGAATGAAGCGCCTTCAGCACTTCGTTGGAGAGCGTTGGGAATTAATTCATTGTGCGCTGCTTTGTTGGTTGGTTGTGGTCAGCTTCATCAAGTCGGCCGAAAGGGACACATGCTTGAACCGAATGCTTATCTGTAGGAGCACACCTCCGAGAACAGTTCCCATCCTGGCAATGATATCACGATGAAGCTTTACGCTAACATGTCCTTGGCCGAAATATACGAAGTACTCGATTTCTGGACTTGGTGCAGTCATTTCGGGTCTGCGCTTGTTTTCTCTGTTCCGTTTGTTATTGCTTTGGTGAGTTGGAAAATGAACGAGTTGGAGATGCAAACAAAACAGTATCTGCGTAAGTATGACGTGAAACGTGCTCGCTCGTGCTGATTGTGTTAATTGCATCATAGCGTCAACGATATAGTAGGCATAATTCAACAAAAAAATTAAATGACATGTTCGAAATACTATCGGTGAGTCACGTTAACGATCCTCTTACGGTATCACGAATTACAATCCAGAAGATGTGATAGCGCTTGATTCGAGACGTTCACTGAAGAATGCGTCAAGTTTTAAAGCAAGTGGCACAAATGCGTCGGGATTCAAATAACACGCAACCGCAGCAAGAGCCTCAAGAAATTCAGTCAGCGTCAGTAACACATTCCCTTCAGGATGGTCGATCTTCGCTTTGTGCTCTGGCTCGGCGGGTCTTGTTTCGGAATCAGTAGTTGCGCCAGCCAAGTCAAAATGAACGCTTTCACGCTCAAGCTGCAGCGTTTCTGCTAAGATGTGCTGAATGTCGTCAAAATGCAGCAGATTGTCACGGAAGAGGTCGAAGTACTGGCAGCAGTTGACAAATCCGTTGGCTGACAGCATCTTCGAGGATCCTCGCAACCCCGCACTGTCCTGATTAGCAAAGCGTCTCTCGGTTTTCACTTCACTCGCAACAAAGTGCAAATACATTGAGCGAATCTTTTTGTGATGCGTAGTGAAGACTTCTCGACACTCAAACGTGAGAAGCTGAGGTCGAAACACATTGGTTTTCTCTTCGTCCGGGCGCATTGCGTTTGGGAAGACAATTTCTTCGAGAAATCTTCGGAAGCGTAGCGATAGAGCTGTAGTTGGTCCAACATTTTCTCCTTTCCAATGCACACGATCACTCCAAATGATATGAGTCAGAGCCTCGACGAACTCTGCAGATGTCATCTCCCTCCCTTTCACACTACTGAGATCTTTTATAGGTGCGGATAGAGTGTGTGTAAGTGGCAGAGTTAAGCCGGCAGTATCCGTCGAGGCTGCAACGTCAGGACTCACTTTTTCAAATACGCTCTGGACAAAGTCGTATGGGAATGATCGAGTCTTGCCAAAAACTTGACATTCTTTGAGAAAAAAATAAAACTCTCCCAAAGACATACTGGCGGAGATTTTGTGGAAGAAGCGCGCTTCATCGACTGCATTTCCTCCACTGCGTGGCTGATTTTCTTCAGAATCCGCACATGAAGTACGACTGAAGTCGACGTTGGCGTAAAAGCGGTATATCTGGAGCAAACGTTCATAATGCTCTCCAAGAATTTCTTGGATGAGCTGTAACTCCTCCGTTAGCTCTTCGCTACTCCGCTTGTTATCACTTTGATCCAGAAACATTTGCACTAGCTTGGAGATATGGAGCGTAGTCAGCATATACTTGTTGCGCCAAACACGTCGGTCAACCAGTTGGAATGGAGTCTGTTCTCGTCCTCTGCGCGCAAGCAGTCGAAGTGCATCTTGTTGAATCCGTCGCTGTAAACAACCCCAAACTCTCATAACACTACTACGTTTCGAGCACGCATATTGTACTGTGTTGACAGCATTCTGTAGAGCGATGTTTGCCTTTGCCAGTAATTGTGGAGACGTGGACATTTCTGGTGGTGCACTGGCAGCCTCCAGGACGTCAAATGGAGTGTGAAGCTCTCTCCATTGAACTCTAACAGAGTCCCAGACTGATCGCGCGTCGTTCAGAGCAATTTGGGCTTCGTACCACGGATATGGACTCGCTGAACTAGTTGAGTGTCCAGCTGCAGTCTGAGTGACGAGACTTGGATGTTCACATACCAAGAATCCAAACAAGCAAAATATAAAATCACTTGCCAATTCGTTGCTGAGGACGTGATCACACACGAATTCCGGACACGCTGGATCCAGCTGTCTTGCTAATACAGTTCGGAGCTCCTCCCGAGTAGGAAACGGTGTTTGTTTTGTGGACATGTTATCAACTACAACACGAGACAAGAGAGAGAACGTGCTCTTCATTCTAGTTTGTTTTGCAGGCTGGCGTCGTCTCTTCACTGTCAACACGCGATGTAAAATATGGCGTAGTGCATAGTAGCCATGCATATCGGATGAAAAGTTCTGGACCAAGTCAGAATTGGACGAAAACAAGTGATGAAATGGTCCCCCACACTGCTCCAGTTGAAAGTTGATCCATCGAAGTACCAATAACTCTGAAGAAAGAGCAAGGAGATCGGAGTCATCCTCACCTTTCATCAGTAATACACTGACATCAACGTATTCTTCTGCCGATACAGCGTCCAGCATGTTCTGTAGGTAGTCGCATTCACAATCGACGAAGGCAAAGCATAACTTGCCCCATTGGTTTGAAATGCTCTGCAGTTTTCTCTCTTGACTTTGTCGAATTCGTAATTCAAGTTGGGCTAGAAGCTCTTCCAGTGATAGTGTATGTCGCTTAGCCAAGTCGAGATGCTCCCGGTGAGCCTTCGTCTCCACTTTGGCACCTTCAACCTGGGCTTGTAATCGTCCGATGAGTTCTTGGAAATCATGTTTACTGTCGCGGTAAAGCTGGATCTGCTCGTTAGATTTACGCGCTTTTTCAGCGACCGCGTAGTCGTTCCATCGACGGAATAGTCGCATGAGATGCTGCTTCGTCCAGCGCGAGCGAGTTTTGTCGAGTAAAACACGCGTATACTTCTTACGGATGATGATCTTTTTCCAATCTGCAAGCGTCTGGCGCATCACCAGCCGACCCCACCGACTCGCAAGACGATCAACCATGAGTTCATTGTTGCGTAACCTCTTCAGCATGAATTGATGAAGGGAATCGAGGCGAGATCTGAACAAAAAGACAGTATTAAGACGCATCCTTTCCACAATTTAAGTAGAGCTAAGTTACTTACAAGCGAAGCTCCAGTGATCTCTTCTCTAACAGTACTTCCTTCAACTCCGTAAAGTACGCTCGTCGGGCAAGCGATTCCTTCAATACCTCAGCGGCAAAACCTCCAGTATTTCCGTTGTCAATGGGGTAGCTTGTCACCGCTGACATCTGGGACGAGTCATTCATAAAAGCAGATCGTCCCAACTCGGCCCGCGTCACACGGGTGAGGTTCTGGAATCTTGGGAATTTACTGCTGATTTTTGTTAGCACATCGAAGCAAATTGCGGTACGCAGCAGATTAGGGACACCAAGATGGTCGGTGGACTGTAGCGCCTTCGAGAACTCATACTCAAAATGGGAGGCTGAACAAAGTAATTGATGAAGCCAATTGTCATAGAAAAAGGAGCTACACGAATTATATAATTTGAAGGTCTGGGACTTACCTTGTTGTTCAAAATCCCCCGCTTCATCCACACATTTAGAATTCCACTTCTCGACGTTTCTCAAACGCTGAACGTGCTCAGTCCTGAATACCGACTCTACCGGTTCACGTTTCCGCGGTTGTAGGTAGCTTTCGTTGATCTGTGCCCGATTGGAAAAACCTGCTTCGTTCCCGTGCATTACCTCTGTCGAATCGTAGAGGCGTTTCCACGAAAGGCGCTAACTTGGCACTGATGCTGCTATTCCTGATGATTCTTTCAATAGCTCAGCTCGAAGGCACCCCAACCTGCACTCATTGCGCAGCACTATTGCAAGTGCCAATCTCGGTTCATAACAAGAAAACAATGGCGGACTATGTACCATGCGCCACTCCTCCCACCAAAGGGTTCCTCTCGAGCATCAATCCGCTGGCCATTTTCGACGACGTAGAGACTCTCACTCCCCATGAATTCCTCCGGGACTTTTACACTCGACAAGGCCTGCATGACAAACTGGAAGACGTGGATGCTTTGGTGGAGAACTACGGTCACCAGATGCATCTGCTTTACGCAGAACTAGATAAAAAGTGTGTTCAGCTTCATTCAACTCTCAACTTCAACGTGTTTGCGCTAATCAACTATCTTGGCTTTTGCAGGTATGGCACCAAGTTCTGCACTAACCCTCCACCAGTTTCCAGTCAAACGCGCAGAGCAGAACCCGTGGGGATGCATAAGTACACGACCCCGACCCCAAAAAGTCCCAGCAAACCTCCTGTCAACAAAAGTACGAGTCGTATAACTCAACAGATACGGATTCACTCTATAAAGCTAACTCTCACGTTGATCTCTGTCAGTTGTCCTGCTTGGAAACTCAGGCGTGGGTAAAACCAACTTGCTTAGTCGTCTGCACAAGGGCGATTTCAACGAGGAGTTCACATCCACGATCGGCGTGGAGTTTCTTACTCACGCTGTCAAGGTGGACAATGTCGACGTCAAGGCGCAAATCTGGGATACCGCTGGACAGGAACGTTTTCATGCTATGATGTCCACTTACTATCGCAAAGCTGCTGGGGCTTTGCTTGTGTTTGACGTCGGCAACCGTACCAGCTTACTTGACGTCGAGAAATGGCTCGATCAGCTGCTTAATGTCGCCGAACCCGGACTACACGCAACACTCATCGGGAACAAGTGCGACCTACCTGTGGACAAAAGGGCTGTGACAGCAGAAGAAGCGCGTCAGTTTGCAGCTGAGCATCACATGGCGTACATTGAGACGTCGGCGAAGACTGGGCAGAATGTGAGCGAGGCCTTTCGTGATATCATTACAGCTATCCATCGAGCGCGGCTGGCAGACTCTCAGGAAGCCTCTTTCGCTACCATCGAGCTCAATAACAAAGAGACGGGGTCAAGTTCTCTCTTTAACTGCAAGTTATTCTAACCATCTACACTTTGAATCATGCAAAAGCTAAAGCAGTATATCGAAGTATCTTACACATTCAAGATGCTTATGAATGAATCTGTTTTTAATTCTTTACGATCTCTTTCTAATCTACTCAGGCCGAGAACATTTCGCTGCAAAGGAAATTAGATCAGCGAGTTGTTCGTAGACTTCCGGACCGCCGACTCGATCGTTTGGTTTGCATGTAGTAACAACTTCAACGTACTGGTATGCAACACCAAGTAAGATACAAGTAAGATACTCAACGCTTTAGCGGTTACCTAAAAGGAATATCACGTACATCGAGAAGCGAGCGCTTGGTGTCCTCGTAGAGGCGCTCCAGTTCTAAGTTGAACGAAAATGAGAAAATGAACAGTAAAACCGGCACTAAGATCGCATAGAATCTGAAGTGGTACAATCACCTCGAGCTTGGCGTGTTTCCCTTTTCATAATCATCGCGAATTCTTTCGTCTTGACTCCAGTGGAAGCTGATCTACTCGATGTAGCTGGACGCTCACACAACTTAGAATCCGCGTTCAAGCTCTCGATCCGTGACGATGGACCCGCCGACATTATTGGGCGGTTGATTCCTCGATGGTTCCGAGGTAGGCCGTACCACTGACGCAATTTGCTTGATGCTGGTTTTCGAGGTACGTATTCTTTCAAGTGCCCCTGTTGCAGAATCTGCATCTCACTACGATCCAGCGCCGTTCGCAGCGCCCGCATCTGTTGGATGTCCATCAATTGTGGGATGTAGGCGCGATAGCGTGAACTCGCTTCTTCAACTTCATCCTCCTCAAGCCCAGTTAACTCTTCTTGCTCCCATTTTTGTTCTTCATCGTCGTATTCCAAGTCCTGGTTCATCGAACAGAATCAATATTTTTTGCTCGCTAGAGATGTTTATTCTTGTGCGAGGGATGTCCGTTGGTGGGTGGAGTTACGGTGCCGACAGTCTCAAAGTATCTTCATTAAAGTATACCAGCAACCCATTCACAAGCATGTCTTTAAGCCAATAAGATGACGGGTAATAGATGTTTTGACCATAGTAATAATTAAGATTAGGGTAAGCCACAGACACTTGCCGACAGATATTGTCTCTACCAAATATGTACTCACAGTATACTAAGACCAGGCCTCGGACAATACAGTAACATACGGAATTGGGGACGCAGTAGTAATAACTGCAATAGCATACAAAGCCAATAATCAATAACTGGGCCAATAACAATGTATTGCAGTCAGCAATGATCGTACCGCCTACCTACTCTTCCTTTTCAATGAGAGTCGACGCGTTCCACATTTCGCGATTGACGCGCAAGAAGGCGATCATCTCGAAGTTCGCCGGCAACATGCAGCTGCGTTGCGGCGTCATGATCAACTTGCACGTCAAGAACAGTCGCTCGACCGTGTTCGAGATCGGTGACACCAGTTTCGCCAGCGCCGAATGGCGAGTCTTGGTGCGCGTCGACACGCGGCGTTTCTTGCCATCGCGCAAGATGGCGTGCGAGTAGTCACAACGCAGCCTCTTCTTCTCCTTGGCACCCGGTCCTCCACGTTCTCCATCTCCCTCGGTGTCGCTGGCCACCTCGAAGCACTTGAGTGCGCGGGCTTCGGTGGTCGCCAACGTGTCCCCGTTGCCGATCTTCATGAGAGCAGACTCGAAGGTAGGAGAATGTACAATATTGGCCGAAGCACGAAGGTGATCCACCATTATCCGGTAGTCCGCAATCACCTTATCGAACAAAAGTCGCACATCAGCGAGCGGGGTGCGCTCGTGCCACGAGGCCACTCCAAACAGATAAAAACGCATACAATTTCACAAACGCCCTACCAACAAACCAACAACCCTTATACACATACC